CCATTTGACTTCACACTCCAGGATGTCTAGCTCAAAGACATCAACCACATCATCATGTTTATCAGGGACAGTAAGACCTTTCTTGTATAGTTCTTCTATGCAATCTTGTCACCTCTTCTTAATCTCTTGTAAAACTTTTCTTTTATTCTTACTGGCATACCTTTTAATATCTTCTTCACCCAAATATTTTCCCAATCTTCATTACCTAATGGAGATGGGTAGAGACCTGTTCTCCCCTGCAGAGGAAGGCAGGACGCACTCCAACGGAGCAAAGCTCAGGGAGCCAAGGTTCCATTTGGATGCCAGGAAGCACTTCCTGACAGTCAGGACCCCGAGGGTGTGGAATGGGCTTCGAGAGGTCGTTGAGGCCCCATCAGTGCGGGTGTTCAAGGATAGGCTGGACGTCCACATGGTGGGCATGTCGTGAGCAGAGCTGGCTGGTGCCGGAGGTCAGACTAGACGGCCTGGGAGACCCCTTCTGACTCGCTCTGGTTTCTATGTTTTTTTCTCAGATCTGTTTCCCATCTTGCTTTAAGTGGATTGTATTGAATCTGCTCATCCAATAATATAAATTTTACTAATTATCCCTTCTATCTGCATATTCTCTTATTTTTCTTTTTCTATAATATCTTTGAATTTTGTGTAATTCCTGCATTTGCCTTTTTCCTTACCCATTCTCTAGTACAGCATTCAAATTGAATCATATTATACAAAGTTAAATTCTCCTTTCCCAGTACTGCTTTTATCTCCTCATTTTATTCATTTTCTCTAACCAATCTTTTAATCTATTTTTTATCCCTTAATATTTCCCTATCTATCAAGGATCCTTCTAATCGAGAAGATTCTAATTACTGCCATACACTTCCACTGAATCCAGGTATTCATTCCAAGCAGCTCTGAAATCCTTAGTGTTTACTACAACTCCAAGGTCCTTTTCTCTCTCATTGCTGTTGAGCCAAGTATTCCCTATCTGATTATTTTTTCAATTTTTATTTATTTATTTGCCTAGACGGAGAACTTGGCATTTGATCCTGTTGAACATCATTGTGTTGTTTTCTGCCAAGCGTTCAAGCTTGTCTAGGTCTCCCTGGATCTTCTTTTCGTCTTCCAGGGTGTTAATTATTCTACCCAGTTTAGTATTGCCCACAAATTGAATTATTGTTCCCTGGATTTCCTCATCAAGTTCATTAATAAAGATGTTGAGGAGTAATGGTCCCAGGACTGAGCCCTGTGGTACCCCACTAGTGACATCTCTCCAGGTTGAGAAGCTACTGTTGATTATCACTCTCTGTGACCTATTTGGAAGCCAGTTGCAGATCCATCTAGCAGTAGTTCTTTCAAGCCCACATTTTGCTAATTTATTCATTAGGATGTTGCGCAGCACTTTGTCGAAAGCTTTGCTGAAGTCTAGGTAGATAACATCCACTGCATTTCCTCTGTCCATTTGGGTGGTAACCCAGCCGAAGAATGAGTTTAGCTTGGTTTGGCATGACTTATTCTTAAGAAATCCATGTTGACATCTGCTTATCACTACATTTTCTTCAAGGTGCACACAGACTGATTTTTTAACGATTTGTTCCAGTACTTTTGCAGGGATTGAAGCTAGACTAACTGGTCTATACTTCCCCAGTTTGTCTTTCTTCTCTTTCTTGTAGATGGGGACCACATCAGCACTCTTCCAGTTGTCTGGCACTTCCCCTCTTCTCCCAAGATTTTGCAAATATTATATATAGTGGCTCAGTGAGCTCCTACACTAGTTCCTTTTTACTCCGGGATGGAGGCCATCAGGTACTAGAGATTTGAATGCATCTATCTCTTCAAGGAACACCTTCACCATTTGTCTGTTGATCTTAGGCCGCCATCCTTCCCCTTCATTTTGCGCTACCACCTCTGCAGGCAGGTTGCATTTCCTTTTGTGGGAGAAGACTGAGCCAATGTAGGAGTTTGGTCCTCCCAGTGTCTCCTAGCTCAGGCCCTCCAGCTGCTTTATTCCAGGACTGGGAGCAAGGAGTGTTTGACATTCCCCTTTCTCCCATCCCATTAACAGTTGGCATCAAGGATTGGCACAATCAGGCAACCACCAAGGTTCAGAAGTGTATTCCCTGATCCTGCCAATCCCACAATATGGAAAAGTTTCCATAAAAGACAGTGGCACTTCTGAAAATGTCATGCAACTTGACTCCAATCAGGTTGATTGCAATCTTAGATTACCTCAAATGTGATGCATGATGTCAGATGGCTAGCTTAATAGAACCTTCAAGTTTAGAGGAATCATACACTGAAACACCATTCACTAGGAGCTAACAATGCAAGCAGGTTTTTTTCCTTCTGTGCTGCTTATGAACTTTCCTGAGGCCTCTGACTTGCAACTTCTAAAATAGAAAACTGTACTCAATGCACTTTTGATATGATCCAGTTTTTGCCCCCCAGGTGGTTATCTGCCACTGTGGTCCCCATTTACAAAAAGGGACCCAGGAATGAAATGCACATTGCTCTATTAGAAACACAGAAACAGAGCGACTCAGAGGAGTCCTCCCGGGCCATCTAGTCTGACCCTCAGCTCCAGCCGGTTCCGCTCATGACATGCCTACTATGTGCATATCACCCGGGTCAACTGCTTGGAAGGCAGCTATGCTCACCACTGCTCATCACTGTACCACCACTATTAGAAGTTTCAGGGAAGATTTATGTCAGATTTCTCTTAGAAAAATTAAAGAATTGGGTAGAGGATTATGCACTGGTTGCCCCAGAACAGGAAGGTTTTCATTCAGGTTGCTCAACTTTACATAACCGTTTTATCTTGAAACAGATTATTGATAAAATCTTGCTGAAGTTGTAAAACATATTTATGTAGTTTTCGTTGATCTGAATGCAGCTTTTGATTCTATTCCTTGCAAATATTTATGGAATAAATTAAAACCTTTGGGCATTGATCCACAGCTCTTAAAATGTATAATATCTCTGTATTCAAGGACATCCTTGCAAGGAAGAATAGACAGAATACTTATCTGACTTCATGTCATTTACAAAAGGAGAAATACAAGAGTCTTTACTTGCCCCACTTCTCTTCAATTTATTTATAAATGTAGTAAAGTTCTTGAGAGATGACTGTTATTTTCCAGTTAAAGTGGTGAGTCAGAAATATTCTGTCCTCTTTTATGTAGATAATCCTGATTTCTTACTGGGTTTACAAATATCATTAAACCAGTTCAGTGTATGCTGCAGGAATGAGTTTCTTTCTATTAATCACCCCACAAAAATTATTATAGTATTAAGTAAATCTAAGAAGAATCTTGATTGGTCACTTGATGGGAATAAACTAGAGCTAGTGTCTTCCTTTAAGTACTGTGATGTGGTCTTCCAGTGGACAGGTACATCAACTTTCCAGGTACAGCCAAGAAACTTGTTAGCTTGTTGGACATTATATTAATTATACAAAAGAGGGAAATGTGATGAAGCCCACCCTGTATAAGCCTATGGTTTTGCCAAAATTGTTAAATGGAGTTCCACTGTGGATCACAACCAATTTAGATTCATTAGAAAGAGCCCCCACACCCCACACCCTGCAACACACACACAATTTTTGGCATAGGCCTTTGGTAGTTCCTACATCCACAAACTTAGAAATGGTTTGTGCAAAACTTGATGTATAACTATCAGAGCTTGAGTTCTTAGATTAGCCCTGTTGTTTAGGTTAAAAATAATTTTAAGCAGGTCTCTGAATCTATATTGGAGTCGTTTGAAGAGATGGGCCTAAACTCATGGAAGCAAAAAGTGCAACCGGTAGTCATGAGCTTGGGATTCTCTATCTCCTTCCTTTTAGCCCATGGATCTGATAGAGCTAATTCAATGGTGTTAAAAAGGCTTAAAGATACTGAGGTGCAATCTCAAGGAACTGGTATTACAGCCTGCCAATCCAACAATTTTTATGCCTCCTTTATTCTGTCACACCTTTCTCTCACAAACTATCTGGTAGACTTGCCAAATATTAAAATGAGAGTAGCCCTTACTAGAGCAAGATTAAATATTCTTCCTTTGGCAGATTGGGTAAACCAGTATAAAGGACTTCCTAAGAAGGACAGAATATGTGGTTGTGATTGCATATCGGTAGAATACATTGCTCATGTACTTCTACATTATTCTATCTATAATGATCTCAGAACCAAATATATTCATCCTTTGTTAAATTATTGAAGAGAAGGTCATCTTCTGTAAAGATTTATTTATTATAAGTACTAACAAATATATATTTTTTAGAACAGCAGCCCCCAGCCTTTTTGGCACCAGGGACTACTTTCACGGAAGACAATTTTTCCATGGACTGGGGCGTGGGGGATGGTTTCGGGATGATTCAAGTGCATTACATTTATTGTGCACTTTATTTCTATTATTATTATTACATTGTAAAATATAATGAAAAATTATACAACTCACCATAATGCAGAATCAATGGGAGCCTACCCTGACCTGCAGCCTGGCCCCTACCTGCTTCCCAGTTCCCTCACCACTTGCCACCCAGCTCTGGTGCTGCTGCTGCGGCCGCTCTCTCCTCCTTTCGAGGCCCAAGACGCAAAAGGGCCCTAATGATAAACCATATTTGCAGCTGTTCCCTAGCAGTGATGCTAGTGCTGGGGAGCAGCTGCAAATACAGATGAAGCTTTGCTCACCCGCGCACCACTCACCTCCTGCTGTGCAGCCCAGTTCCTAACAGGCCCAGGGGTTGGAGACCCATTTTAAAACATCAAGTCAATTTCTTGTCAATGCTTGGCAAGTACACAGGACAAAGTATGAAGGATGCAATGGGAAGTATTCAACATTTGATAGTGTGTTAATAGAGCTATAACCTTCTTTAACAGAAAACTACTAAGAAATAATAAACTCTGCTTTGATGTTTTTTGAAACACCAGCAGGGCCAGCATACTGCCCTACTTATAGTCTGTGCACACAAACCAGCAGATGCTGGAAAATTCAGAAGATTACAAGTGTCAACTTCTACTGACCATTCCTTGACATAAGCGAGTAGTCCAAGGCTTGCCTTCATCATTCTTGTATATGAATAGTCTCCCACTGGTGTCTCCAACCACTAGTTCATTCAGCTGGAAAAGAGAAAACTGTTCAAAATGTTGTTTTTCCCAGAATTTACATGCAAAAACCTACAATTTCCTTTCTATCCCTCCACACCAGCAAAAACCAAATAATTGATCTTTCCCACAGTTGACTAAATTTATCAATTAAAAAGAGACATAGAAGGGTTAAAATATCACAGAAGGGGCTGAGCTATCAAATACTCTTTCAGCAGATGCCCCCCTCTATGGATAATCCAACTACTAGACCAGTATCTACTTGGTGTCAGTAAGTTGTGTGTTACTGTCCGTTAGATCCCTGCTTCTTACTCTAAACAGCAGATAGTCTGAAACGCAGTGACGGAGATTTAATTTGTCTTACATTTACAGATCCCCTTCTTGAATGCACACGTTAGCATAGTGAGAGGAGTTAAGAGTGTCAGAGAAGCTGAAAGTAATGCTGCCAGAAGGCCAGACATTCCCACTAGTATGGTGTTCTAGCACAGTCACCCAAGGTGGAATGCTCGAAACACTTTTCCTCAGGAGAAACAGTCACATCAGCAGAAGAGAATGGCTATCTCTGATAGTGATGTGAGGAGATAAACTTCTGAAGAGTAGTTACTGGTCAACAGTGGTAGTTGAATACAACACTGTCAGATGATCTTTCTCAGCAACAGCAATGGCATTCAAGCTAACTCCGGTTAGCACTGCACATAAAGATATGGTAATCCACTTCTGAATTATCTCACCTCATAAAACCTATGATGGAACAATCCAAAATGAAACAAGAGATAGTGTCAGAAGTTGAGACCCCCAGGATAGTAGACATTCAACAAGTTACTGGGAAACAATGAAGTGCACTGTCACTAATGATGCAATTAGAACAAAGCCAAAAGGAAATCCAGGGGCTGTCATGTACAGGGGTGAAAGAAAAGTCTGATGCTGCTCAACACATACTTGGAACATGGAACAAGAGAAGTATGAAGCAAGGCAAACTGGAAACCATAAAGCAGGAAATTGAATGGATAAACATCACAGTACATGGTATAGCAAACTAAAGCAATCTGAAATAGGATATTTTCAGTCAGAAAAACTCAATGTGCTTTACTCTGGAAATGACAAACTCAGAAGTAATAGAGTGGCTTTAATACTAAGGCAAGCTGTAACAAAGGCAAAGGGGCTATAACGCAAAATCAAACCAAATTATATCAGTGAGAATTTTGGAAAACTGAACAACAGAACCATCATTTAAATCTATGTTCCAAAAAAATATTCTGAAGAAGTTAGTATCGAAAACTTTTATGAATATACAAGAGGCTAAGTGTGAGGAGGAAGGAGCAAGCAGTAAAAAAAAAAAAAAAAAGTAAAATTGTTTGAGTAGAATACTCCACAAGTCTTTGGATCTTTTTGTGTATAACCTGAGGTTTATCACATTGTTCTTTCTCTGGCAAAGAAAAACTCTAATGGCAGTTCAAACAGAGGTCATAGCCAAGAAATGAAAAGAACACTGAGACTTTTCAGCAACAATGAAGGAACTAAAAAAACATCTTTAAGTGTAAGGATGTTTTACTGGAATTCAAGGCCAAGATCATCCATGATATTGCATTCCTGACCATTGTGTACAGGTGTGAAAGCTAGAAACATACAAACAAAGCAAGTCAAAAGGGGTCTCATGGGCCATCTAGTCTGACCCCAACCTCCAGCCGGCTCCACTCATGTAATCCCTAAAATGTGGTTGTCCAATCTTTCCTTGAATACCCTCATTAATGGGGCTTCAACCACATCCCTTGGAAGCTCATTCCATATCCCAGGGGTCCTAACTGCCAGGAAGTACTTCCTGACTTGCAACCTGATATCTGGTTCCTTGAGTTTGCCCTATTGGAATGGGTCCTGCACTCCATTGCAGGGAAGAACAGGTCATGGCCCTCCTCCACATGACATCCCCTCATATATATATAAGTCACTAAAAGATCCCCTCGCAGTCTCCTCTTCTCCAGGCTGAAAAGACCCAGTTCCCTCAGTCTCACCTCATACAGCTTTCCTTGCAATCCGGTCACCATCCCTGTGGCCTTATGCAGCACTGACTCTAACCTACCTATGCCTCCCCTATGATGTGGAGCCCAGAAATGGATGCAGTACTCCAGACCCATGCAGACCAGTATCAAGATCTGGAAGCCATGCTTCTGGCTATACATCCAAGGGTGGAGTTTTCATTTTAACTGCTGCATCACACTGCTGGCTCATGTTTTGCCTGCTGTTGACATATTCCTGTGTCCCAAGTATAAGATCTTGCACTTATCCACACTGAATGTCATCCTGTTGTTCTCCGCCCACTTCCATGGTCTGTCCAGATCCTTCTAGATCTGGATCACCTGCTCCAGCCACCACCTCCATTTTGACATCATCCACAAATTTAGTCATCAGATTGGTTATCCTCTCCTCCAGGTCACTGATAAAAAGGTTGAACAGAATCGATCCCAGTACAGAGCCCTGGAAGACTCCACTTGTCACCAGCTACCATCCTGATGATTCCCCACTGATAAAAACCCACTGCTTGCAATCCATCAACCATGCCCTAATCACCGGGCAGTACATCAATCTCTCTCAAAGCTCCACAAGTCCAGGATATCATGTGGCACTCTGTCAAAGGGGCCTTGTTGATATCCTGGTAAACCACATCCACCACATCCCCTCCATCTAGCCACCTCAAGATCTTATCATAGAATTCCACAAGGTTCATCTGTCAGGATCTATTTTTATGGAATCTGTGCTGTATGCCTGCCAACCTCCCTTCCCTATCTAGAGTTTCTAGAGCTTTCCCTATTATGTGCCCTTCCATCTTCTTTCCCAGAATGGACATAAGACTAACTGGCCTGTAATTCCCCATATGCCCTCTGCTACCCTTTTTGAAGAGTGGCACCACTGACATCACCCTCTAATCCTCCAGAACTTATCCCATTTTCCATGAGGCCTCAACAATGAAGGCCAACAGATGCGAGAGTACTGCTGCAAATTCCTGAAGTACCCTTGGGTGTAGCCCATCAGGGCCCAGCACCTTTGTAATATCCAGGGCCCGGAGGAACTCCTCAACTTCTAGGGAGGTAACTCCAATCTGTGCCCCCATAACCCAACCTCATCTAGCCCCCCAGGTAGATCTCTCCCCAACCCACTTAGAGGGGAACACAGAAGCAAAATAATCATTTAACATCTGTGCCTATTCCCTTGGATCAGTTACCAGATCCCCTCCCTCCCTTATCAGTGGTCCCACCACCTGTCTCCCCTTCCTCTTTATCTTTACATGAAGGTAGAAGCACTTTTGTTGCTCTTGACATAACGCACAAGTTTCACTTCATAATCAGCTTTAGCCTTGCAATGAATCCTTCTGAAACGTGCTGCCTCTTCCTGGTAAACACTTTTGTCCACTTGCCTCAGTGTCCCATTTCCAGGGAAGGTCCCTCTTCCTTTTAATCCCTCTTACCATCTCTCTTTGCATCCATGGTGGTACCCTCCTATGTCTCCTTGCTTTGCTAATCAGCTGTATCATTAAGGCTTGTGCCTCCAAGATCTCACTTTTTAGAGTCATTCATCCCTCCTCAACTCCCTTGCATTCCAGTACCCTCTCCCAGGAGACTTCACCCAGCCTGGCCTTCAATTGACTGAAGTTGGTCCACAAGAAGTCGCAGCTTCTAGCACTTGACCAACCACTCATCCCTGTTCCCCTGATCTCAAAGATGGAGTGGTAAGTTGCATTCAGAGCATCCCTAACCTGCACATCATCTACCAGATCCTCCCTGTTGGTCAGAACCAAGTCTAGATGCCCCCCTTGTTGTCTCCTGGACCCTCTGTGTGAAAATTTCTCCTTCCATAGCTCCTAGAAAGCAGCAGAACATAGCTGCTGCTAAGTTTATCTCCTAACTAATATCAGGGAAGTTGGTGTCTCCCATTATGACTGTGTCCCTCCCTTGGGAAACCCTTCCAATCTGGCCTAGCAGGGCATCATCTAGCATTTCAAGTTGATCTGATGAGTGATAACATACCCCCACTATCAGATCCTTGGCCACTTCTAGACCTGGCAATCTTACCCACACTGCTTCCACCTCTTCTATCCCACTCCCTATCTCATTCCACCTGATCCTCTTCTATCCCACTCCCTATCTCATTCCACCTGATCCTCTTCTATCCCACTCCCTATCGCATTCCATCCTACCCCTTCCTTAACATAGAGCACTACACACCCTCCCCTTTCCCTTCCTATCCTTCCTAAAAAGAGCACACCATTCTATGTTAACATGCCAGTCCAGATTTTCTTTCTACTATGTTTCCATAATGGACTATTGGCATATGATGGGCTGAACTTCACAAGGAACGGGAAGCAGATGTTTGGCCACTACATGAAAAAATTAATCAAGAGAGATTTAAACTAAAACCTATATGGGAGGGAGATGTGCAACATGGCATACTATCACCCGGCAAAGACATATATTTCAACAGAGAAAAAGTTTCAAGCAGGGCCCAACACCAGTCTCCCAAAAAACGTTGGAAGAAAACCAGGGCACAGCATGAATGAACTTCCAAGTTTCTACACCAATGTCCAAAGTATGGGAAACAAACAACATGAACTTAAGCTCATAGTACAAGAGGGCAATTATGATCTTATAGGAATAACTGAAACTTGGTGGGATGGCTCACATGACTAGAACTCTACAACTGATGGATACAACCTGTTCAAGAAAAATAAAAGGACAAAAAGAGAGGTCGAGTTGCACTGTATGTAAGAGACACATATACCTGCACAGAAATATAAGAAGAGGAATGTAGTAGCCCCACTGAAAGCATCTGGCTAAATTTAAAAGGAGCAAAAATTAAGAACAACATAGCTATTGGCATATCTCACCGTCCACCCAGTCAAAAATGGACAAGGATGCAACCTTCGAAAAGCAACTTGCCGGCATTTCCAAGAAGAATGATGTAGTCATCATGGGGGACTTCAATTTCCCTGATATATGCTGGGAGACAAATTCTGCCAAGCATGGCCCCTCCAAGAGATTCCAGACATGTGTTGCCAACAACTTTCTCCAGCAGAAAGCAGAGGAATGAGAGGATCAGCTATCCTCGATTTAATACTAACAGGGATGGCCTGGTGGACAAAATAACAACCATCGGAAGTCTGGGAAAGTGACCATGAAATGCTTGAATTCTCAATTATAAAGGAGTCAAAGGGTAACTGGAGCCAAACAAGCACCATGGCCTTCAAGAAAGCCAACTTGAATGAACTCAGAAAAATGATCAGCAAAGTGCCATGGCAACACACCATTAAGGGGAAGGGAGTCCAAGAGGGATTGGAAATCTTGAAAAAGAAGATTCCCCAAGCACAACTACAAACAATTCCATCAAGGAAAAAGTGTAGAAGCCAACAGAGTAAGCCCACATGGCTCCACAAAAAGTTAAGAGACAGCCTGAAAGAAAAAGGAATATGTACAGGAAGTGGAACAGGGCCAGGTCACGAAGGAAGAATATAAACAAATAGCAAGAATTGCAGGAATAACATCCGGAAGGCTAAAGCAGGAAATGAAATAAGAATAGCATGGGATGCTAAGCACAAGAAGAAAGCTTTTTTCAGATACATCCAGAACAAAAGACATGAGAAAGAGAAGGGTGTCCAGTTACTTAAAATGGAAGGCAGAGTGATAACAGACAACAAGGAAAATGCAGAGGTGCTCAGCTCCTACTTCACCTCAGTCTTCTCCCACAAGGAAATCTGCAATCAGGAGGAAGTACAAGCTAAAAGTGAGACATGGGAGCCCAAGATTAACAAACACATGATCAAGGAATTCCTAGAGGGAATAAACACATTCAAATCTCCAGGGGCCCCAGAGTCATAAAAGAGCTAGCTGAGGAACTCTCAGAACCACTGGCTATTATCTTCGATAAATCTTGGAAAACAGGAGAAGTGCCAGACTGGAGAAGGGCTAATGTTCTCCCTGTCTTCAAAAAATGAAAAAAGATCAACCTGGGAACTATAGACCAGTTAGTCTGACATCAATCACTCATCAATCTGATGAGTCCTGTTGCACAATTGGGAGCCACTCCTTATGCAAGGGAGATACAATACTTCCAAGGGGCAGCTAGGAAACAAACTAAAGTCTTTTATGGAAGAGAACTAGTTAAATTACAGGAAAGCAAAGATTTCTTGTGATGATGGGATGTCAGAAGCAGATTCTCTTAAGTATATGTATTGACTCCCAATAGTCAAGTTGTTCACAAACCATCTGGCATTAATGAAGGTCATGTTTGTGAATGACAACGAATTATTCACAGTGGTAAAAACAAAGACAGATTGTGAAGAACTACTAAAAGACCTTATTAATATTATTTAAAAGAAATTATGAACTGAATCCAGTTGAGATGTCCATACACCCCTGAACATGGAGGCTCAAACTGATCAAATGCAGAGCAGCACGAGTGATGAAGGTAATCTTTACCTCCTCACTGCTTCCAATCTGTATTTTTGCTATATAACCCTTTTTGGCTGGCAACAGTGTCTCAATGGGAAAGTAACTGGAGCAGCTACCTGTCTGCTCCCCTTGCCCTGAATTGCCTAAACTCATTTTTCCGAACTCAGGGAGTAGGTGGTGCAGTTCTTCCCCTGTCAGCTGCAGGGAGAGGGGAATTGGACCACCAATTCCCAGAGCAAAGTACCGTGCTTCCCCAAAAATAAGACTGGGTCTTATATTAATTTTTGCTCCAACAGACGCATTAGGGCTTATTTTCAGGTGATGTCTTATTTTTTCTTAGGAAAGTCATAAGATTCTTGCCCCAAGAGTCCTCCACAATTCCTTTCTTGTACTCAGCGAATAGCTCTTTCTTTTTGCACTCATCTTGTCTGGGGGTCAAAATATTATTCCCTTTAAATCTACCATTAAATCAAGTGTTAACTGAAGACTTACGAGCCAGGAGTGGCAACACATGAGTGCATTAAGTACGTCCGTTACAACACATGACATAGTGAATTATGAAACACATCCATTCATTATCAAGTACACACCTCATTCGTGCTTTCTGTCTGTACTCTGAATGGTCATTCGGCAATTAAAGTTCATCTGTCTACGCAGGCATTTACCTCTCGTGCAAAGGCACCTTCTTCGGTATTTACAAATACTTAAATTATAATAAGTATTTATTATAAAAATTATAAATAAAATAAAAATTATAAAAAATTTATTATATAATAATATAATAAATTATCATTTCTTTTAAGTATTAATGTCAACAATTATTTATTTATATTTAATTATATATTAATATTAGTGTAATTCAATACATCCATCATGTGTTGCAATGGACATACTAAATGTATCCATCTGGCTGACGATCTTAACTGGGGCTTATTTTGGGGGTAGGGCTTATATTATGAGCATCCTGAAAAATCATGCTAGGGCTTATTTTCCAGTTAGGTCTTATTTTTGGAGAAATACAGTACTGTCTCTGACCTCGTAGCTAGGAAGTTTAATAATCCTATAAACCCAAGATGATGTCTAGGAGCCATGCAGTTTCTTCCTAAAATAGTAAGTGTAAAGGCTATATTTGAACAAAAAGAAATGCTAACTTCACATGTATACTGATGGGATTTGTGTTAGTAATGACCTGGTAAGAAATTTGGGGGGGGGGGGGCCACAGGACCTAACTTATCAGAATCTTATTTTAAAAAAAGTGTAGTATCACAACTGTGCAGAGCATAACCATGTAGCAGTCTCTTAATTCCAGACTATAAGATGATGGTTGAGTTTGGGGCTGTGCAGAAGAGGAAAAAAGGCCGCTGTGTGTCTAGTAAGGGAAGAGGGAGGCAGACTAACAACAGAAAACTAAGCAATTGGCTAGAGCAATGGGGGTTTGGTTGGTGTGCATGTGCATACCTTCTCTGGGGACACTACATAGAGAGTGGAGTCACTACATTTATGTATTTATTTAGAATATTTATATGCCATCCTTTCACAAAAGCCTCATCTTTGCACTAGGTAAGAATGCATGGAAGTTATGATCCCTGGCCTTCCTCTGCATGACAGTCTTTCAAGTATTTGAAAAGCACTTTTTAAAAAGTGTTCCTCTTTCTAAGTCTGGTCTTATTTTAGGTAATATTTAAACATTTCAAACCATGCATGGCTGATACCAATCCTCTTGTATGGTAGGTTGACTTTACTGAATGCCTAGCAATACAATTATCATTAATATTGCAAGCCTGAAATGGGCTTTTTGAATATATAACCAAAACTCTCCCAGAACATCCATCAAGTTGCAGAAAAAATATATCTACTCCAATTGGGTACTCACATTCAATTGAACAAAGTAAGCTCATGAGTGAGTATGAGCACATCAGTTTCGCTCACATTCTCTCTCACACACACTCACACCTATGTCAGAAAGAACATGAGTGTTTGGCTTTTTTATTTCTTTGTTGGGATTAACAACAGGCTATATTGTTCTTGCGCTTACTTGGAAAGAAATTCTATTGTATTTATTTTGTATTTAGTTCTGAGGAAACATACACAGGACTACAGTCCTAAGTTCTAGATTTCTGTATCATCATCATCAATAGCTCCCACTTCTACCCTGTAGAAGATACAAAAATGGAGTCAGGAAACATATTTAATATAAATCTATTGTTGAAATCCTGCTCCAAACCTTTTCCCGCGAAAATTAAGGCAGGCCAACTTCCAGAAGCCATCTTGGTCCTCCCTCAATACAGGCCACGGGGCACTCGCACGCTGCGCACAACATTATATCGCCCGTCCCGGCGGTGTTGCAGATCCATTCGGTAGGTACATTCAGCTTTGTTAATGTTACCGTTTGGCTCCATGCTACAGACAGCATTGTGTGGATATGCGCGTCTATGGGAAAAGCGGGGGCCGAAATGCAACTGCTGCCTTTGTATACAAACATACCGAGTCATTGTCGGCATCTCCTAAGCAGATGGCGTGCGGGAAGACGCTCCCGCTAAACTCCAGCGCCACTCGCTGTACGTAACTGACCGATCGCATGCTCCCACCTTGGCGATTCAGGACTTTTTCACCCGTCGCAAGCGTCTGACAGCCGCTCTAGATGTCTATGACAGAGCGCTGCAAGAAGAATGCGCCATTGGGTCCAATCATCTGTGGAGGAAACGTGCATAGATATATGGCACTGAAGAGTCAAAATTACATATAGGGAGGGGTAACTTCCTGGTTTCCTTTAACACCATTTTTTCGTCTCCCGAAGCAAAGCACACTTTACTTACTGGACAGCAGCGCATGTTTTCCGTCCAAATCCAGTCCAAAGACACAAGTTGGAAACAAATGCTCAGTGTATTTTTTCAGATTTAAGAATAAAATATACAACTATCCTGACAATTCATATTAAAATATCATTAGCCCTGGTGTAGATTTTGGTTTTACGTGTGGCTGAGAAGTAACTCTCCAATGTTGTTGTTGTTGTTGTTAGTCGCGAAGCCGGACAACACTCCTCCAGGCCTTCCTGTCCTCCACCATCTCCCGGAGTCCACCTAAGCTCACACCAACTGCTTCAGTGACTCCATCCAACCACCTCATTCTCTGCCGTCCCCTTCTTCTTCTGCCATCTATTGTTCCCAGCATTCGGCTCTTCTCCAGGGAGTCCTTTCTTCTCATTAGGTGGCCAAAGTATTTGAGTTCCATCTTCAGCATCTGGCCTTCTAAAGAGCAATCAGGGTTGATCCTCTCTAGGACTGACTGGTTTGATCACCTTGCGGTCCAAGGGATTCGCAGGAGTCTCCTCCAGCACCACAATTCAAAGGCCTCAATTCTTCGGTGCTCAGCCTTCCTTATGGTCCAGCTTTCACAGCCATACATTGCAACTGGGAAACCCATAGCCTTGACTATATGCACTTTTGTTGGCAGGGTGATGTCTCTGCTTTTTAGTATGCTGTCTAGATTTACCATAGCTTTCCTCCCCAGGAGCAAGCGTCTTTTAATATCTTGGCTGCAGTCCCCATCTGCGGTAATCTTGGAGCCCAGGAAAATAAAATCTGTCACTACCTCCATTTCTTCCCCATCTATTTGCCAGAACTCAATATCACCAGTCAGAGTGCGGCAGAGACTTCTTACTTCTGACGTGGATCAGACAGATAGAAACAAATACAAAGAAGCAGTATTGGCTCATGAGTGTCCCGTTCTACAGTTCAGCAATACCTATGTGAGGGTTAGAAAATTTGTCAAATGAAAATGAACCAGACCTCAAAGCATCAACACATCTCTACTTGCAAAATTGAATAAAATGAATATGAGAAAGGACAACACCTTCAGGGAGGTGGCACCAAAACTTGTGACATTCCTCATAAGGTCCACAAAGCTCCTTCCTTTTGGGCTTTTAGAATCTTAATGAAAAGTTGTTTATTTTAAGAAGCATTTAGTACGTGATGATCTCCAATCTTTCTAGATTGCCCTGCCTTTTAACATAACACTTTCTAGCACTGCAAGTGTATCATTTTTGTTATAAATTGCCATTTATTTTATAGAACCCCTGCTGACAGAATTGTGGGGGTGCACATGAATGAATCATATTTATTAATAAAACTTATTTTCAGCATTTCAGTCTTACTTACTCAATGGGGTTATTTACACATCATGCTAAATCAGCCAGGCAATAAGCCACAGTGTGCTTGTGGTCTTGTGAACAAGCAACAGAGAGCCTGGGAAACGATCAGGCTCTTGATGGCTTGTTGGCTGTCCTTGTTGCCCTGCACGTAACTTAGGGGATCCCATGGGAGGAACAAAGGCTTCCACTCCAACCCCACTGCCCTAAGCTGTTTTGGGATCACCAAGACATTTTCCTTTTAAAGGATTTGGGGTGGGGGAGGTGGAGGGATATTGCGAAAACTGGCTATTAAGTTGGCTTTTGCAATCTCTACTTTGAGAGCTGTGAGCTTTCTCTTCAAAGTACCCAGTGGCATGTTGCAGATACTATGCACAGTTACCCAGTATTTAAACAAAAGAAAAATGGTATGCACAAAATATTTTAAAAATTATGGTATAGTAAGAAAACTGCAATCATTTGCAGTACCACAGCAGTGGGAATTTGAAGCTTTGCTTCTCTCAGCAGAGTCCCTTTATGCCTTTGTTTTCTCCAAAAGCATTCCTTCACATGCGCTACTACAAATATTGCAGTTACACAGCTCCACTAATCCTAACCCTAAACCAAAATGTTACAAGCAAGTACAAGCATTTAAACTGTCCAAAATATTTCACCTGGCTAGGTATTTAAAAAAAGTTGAAGATAGCAAAGTTCAAATATTTGGCCAGATGTTGCTAGGTGTAATCTGATACCTGTTACACCCTCCAGTTTCAGGCTGGATCTAAACTGCAGACCTCATGCCACATCTTATGTCAAAAGAGTTTTAGATTTTTCTGTTTCCTCCCCTATCCCCCTTTTTGTACTTCCTGCTCTGATGAAGAGCTTTGGACAACTGAAAGCATGTACACTTTTCTGGCATTTAATTGGTCCAATGTACTGTATTGCCAAATTACATTGTATGCATATATCACCTGCAGATGGGAATGCTTTAGAGGGCTGAATTCTAATGCAAACAGTTTTCAGGGAAAGGATTAATCAATCCAGTTGCAAGGTAAGTACTGCAATCAAGTATACCCTCTGTATGTTCCTGCAAAACTCATCCTAAATCTCATATATAGTTTGAACTTCCAGAAACCCATGAGAGTGGATCATGTGATAGCAAAAAAAAAAAAAAAAAAAAAGCAACATTTTTACACAGTCCAAAGAAAGAAGCTAATTTTTCTAGGCTGATTTCAGAGATGAATTTTTCCTTGCTGCTGAATGTTTGGACCATAGATTCAAAACTGATTTTCATTGTAGTTTAAGCAGTCAGGGGAAGCTCTCTAAAGCAGAGAACATGTAGTTTAAATCTTTAACTGGAATTCAGTTGCACAGCCAATATATAAAGCAGTGCTTCTACTGAGGACCAAAGCTAGTTATGATACATACCTAGCTATGTCACTTTTCTTCCAGAAATGATAGTTTAAGCCCCCTTGACCCATATATTTTGGTGATATTAGACATTAGGGAGAAATTACTTTGAACATATTAGATTGCATTGCTTGCACATCATCCATATTCAGGACAGTTTCATGTGTTTTACAACCATGGATTTCACTTTCGGCCCTCTCAACAGAGCGGTATTCGCTCACAGTAACAACAGACATATGATTTTCAAAATCTTATTTGTCACCCACAATATACACCTTTAAACATAGATTTCAAAAGCATAATTGTGATGTATTATTTTTGTTCATTAGGCATTGTGGTTCATGCACAATTGGGGCAGAAAGCAGGCCCATATTGGGCCTAAGTATAGCTGTTATGATGCTGGGAGGAGGACTGGCCTGGTAAAGGGAACACAGCCCAGATAGCTAATGGTTATGCTGTGTTCCAGTCCCCCCACCTTCCCCACACACACGAGTTTAACATGCCATGTCAACCAGCCCACAGATCTTCAGATGCTGCTTTATATGCCAGATCAGTGCAGAATAAAACCTCGCTCACCCACAACTTAATTTAATTGCATTGTATTGCATTGTATGGTGGATGAGGTAACTGATCTGGCATATATAACCAAGGCCTGGGTGGGTGAAGAGGGAGGAGATAGGCTCTTCCACCTGTGCCCACCAGTAGTTCAGCCCCAGGTAGGTGTGAGGACAGGGAGTGGGGGTATTGTGGTCTATAAGAATTTAAATTCTCTGTCCAGGTACCCTGCCTATTCAACAACCTGTTTGGAGCATTTGCACCTTGTGTTGGGTCAGCAGATTGGATTGGGGGTTCTTCTGGTGTATTGCCCACCCTGCAAGCCATCAGCCTCCCTGCTAAAGCTGACAGAGGTAGTTGCAGATGTTACATTGGAGTCCCTCAAGCTGCTGGCCCTGGAAGATTTCAACATTCATGCTGAGGACACCCTGTCCAGAGTGGCCCAGGATTTCATGGCCTGCGTAATGTTGGGAAATTCAGATAAATGCTGAAAAAGATTGCTTATACGTGCCTTGCATTACAAAATCAAACCTACAGTATACTTGTCGCCCTTTCTCAGAAAGCACCAAAATTCCACGCCAGGTTACCGTTTAGCATCGCTGTTACTTTAAGAGATTGGAACTTTCAGTTCACCTGAGGCAGCTTGTTGTTAGTCGTGAAATCATGTCCGAGCCATTGCAACCCCATGGACAACATTCCTCCACCTTCCTGTCCCCGCCAGAGTCAACCTAAGCTCACACCAACTGCTTCAGTGACTCCATCTAGCCACCTCATTCTCTGCCATCCCCTTCTTCTTTTGCCATCTATTGTTCCCAGCATTAGACTCTTCTCCAGGGAGTCCTTCCTTCTCATTAGGTGGCCAAAGTATTTGAGTTTCATCTTCAGGATCTGGCCTTCTAAAGAGCAGTCAGGGTTGATCTTCTCTATGACTGACCGGTTTGATTGCCTTGCTGTCCAAGGGACTCGCAGAAGTCTCCTCCAGCACCACAATTCAAAGGCCTCAATCCTTTTGCGCTCAGCCTTCCTTATGGTCCAGCTTTCACAGCCATACATTGCAACTGGGAAAACCATAGCCTTGACTATACGCACTTTTTTTGGCAGGGTGATGTCTCTGCTTTTTAGTATGCTGTCTAGATTTGTCATAACTTTCCTCCCCAGGAGCAAACGTCTTTTAATTTCTTGGCTGCAGTCCCTGTCCGCGGTGATCTTGGAGACCAGGAAAATAAAATCTGTCACTACCTCCATTTCTTCCCCATCTATTTGCCAGGAAGTGAGAGGACCGGATGCCATGATCTTAGTTTTCTTAATGTTGAGTTTCAAGCCAACTTTTGCCCTCTCCTCCTTCACCCGCATCAAGAGGCTCTTTAGTTCTTCTTCACTTTCTGCCATCAGAGTGGTATCATCTGCATATCTGAGGTTGTTGATATTTCTCCCAGCAATCTTAATTCCAACTGGTGATTCATCTAGCACCACCTTTCTCATGATGTGCTCTGCATATAAGTTAAATAGGCAGGGCAACAGTATACAGCCTTGCCGAACTCCTTTCTCAATTTTGAACCAATCAGTGGTTCTGTGTCCAGTTCTCACTGTTGCTTCTTGACCCGCATAAAGGTTTCTCAAGAGACAAATAAGATGGTCTGGTACTCCCATCTCTTTAAGAACTTGCCACAATTTGTTGTGATCCACACAATCAAAGGCTTTAGCATAGTCAATGAAGCAGAAGTAGATGTTTTTCTGGCATTCCCTAGCTTTCTCCATGATCCAGCGTATGTTGGCAATTTGATCTCTAGTCCTCTGCCTCTTTGAAATCCTGCCTGCACTTCTGGTAGTTCTCGGTCCACATACTGCTGGAGCCTAGCTTGTACGATTTTGAGCATAACTTTGCTAGCATGTGAAATGAGTGCAATGGTGTGGTAGTTTGAACATT